CAGCAGAGTTTATTTCTAGTATGAACTTCCGAAATATTCTTTATCAGATTGGACTCCTGGATCTTTATCGGAGACAATGTGAAGGAAGCCATTAATTCTTCTAAATTTATTACATCCATTTCTTAGCCAAGCTAAAGTCTTAATCTTTGTATTGCTCCGACAAAATGTCCTTTTTAAATTCAGCATCTTACCCATTTTCAGTAGCTTGAATGGTTTTTCCCTTTTTATTTAAGTGCTTGCAACATAATACATATATGTGTAGACCAGGGGTAGGCAACCTTGGCTCTTTTATGACTCGTGGACTTCAACTCCCAGAATTCCTGAGCCAGCATGGCTCAGCTTGGAAACCTCTCCCTTTCCCCTCAGCATGGCTGGCTCAGGAATTCTGGGAGTTGAAGTCCACGAGTCATAAAAGAGCTGAGGTTGCCTGCCCCTGCTGTAGAACATTACCAAATAAAATAAAAAATATAGAAACAGAAATTAAAGCAAAAATCTTAACATTCAGCAGAAAGGATAAAGCATGCTTAATAGGTTTGAAATGCTTGGGTACATTAAATAAAAAACAGCAACAGCTTTATCTTGGCACTGAAATGCTAAGTTAGGCTTTTTAGGGATGGCATGTCATGACCATAATGTTGCTTAGTCTTAGAACATAGAACATAAAATTATATGATTAGAAGGGACCTTGAAGGTCTTCTAATTCAACTCCCTGTTTAAGTAGGAGATTCTATATCATTCCAGACAAACGGTTGTCCAGTCTCTTCTTGAAAAGCTCCATTGATGGAGGAGCACCTGCAATTCCTGGAGGAAAGCTGTTCCACTGATTAATTGGTGTCACTTTCAGTAAATTTCTAGGTCAGGGGTAGGCAACCTTGGCTCTTTTATGACTCGTGGACTTCAACTCCCAGAATTCCTGAGCCAGCATGACTCAACTTGGAATCCTCTCCCTTTCCCTTCAGCATGGCTGGCTCAGGAATTCTGGGAGTTGAAGTCCACAAGTCATAAAAGAGCCAAGGTTGCCTTCTTCTGTTCTAGGTTGTATCTCTTTTTGATATGCTTCCATCCATTATTTTAATGATATTGTAATCTTTAATAATTGAATAATGCACCAATCAGCTGGTCAAGTTGCCTTTGCCTATTGAGTCCTAGAAAGTACAGTATTTGAGGCATCATCACATCATGCTACAGCAGCTATTCTGAGGCTGGGATCTTCCAGATTGCTGTGACTTTAATTCCCAAAATGTATTCAGCTGATCTGAATCCTAATGAACACATTGATCTAAGATGGATCATATTATTTACTTTTGTCTCTTTAATTCATGTGTGTTCAAATTTGGCCTTTTTATGATGTGTGGACTTCAACTCCCAGAATTCCTTAGCCTGGCATGCCTGGCTGAGGAATTCTGGGAGTTGAAGTCCACACGTCATAAAAGGGCCAAATTTGAAGACCCCTGCTCTAATTCATTTTAAAGAGAGGAAGGAAATCAGAGATTTATATGGAAGGAATCCATGGAGATCAGGCAGGATGGAGAAGAAGAGAAAGATGAGGAAAGTTCATGTGAAACGAAACAAAAATGACCCCTGAATAACTAGTTAGAATGAAAGTTAGGACAAAATTGATGACTAAAGAACTCTTCTATGTTGGCTTGGGTAATCAATCAATCAATCAAACCAAACAAACAAACTGTTAGAAATTGAGTCTGTGGTGTATATGCAAACAATTGGTTGAGCGCAATGTAGGACCTTGTCTTAACAGTTTACTGCCAAAAAGAAAAATAAAAAATCATTTCTTCCTCCTCCAAATGTTTCTTGGTTTCTTTTCTCACCCTTGCAGGAACTCTGATTTCAACCAAAGTCAAACACAGTTTACATCTTGGAAATAGGCTGGAAAGGTCATACGCTGCCATGAGAAAAGTCCTAAAATATGTAGTCTTCTCCTCTCTCCCCCCCCCCCCTTCCCTTTCTCCCTGCTATCTTCCAGCACCAAACATGATCTCATCTTGTGGCTTTATTTGGAATGGAGATCACTGTTAGAAGCCTGAAAAAAAAATTCTTCACCACGAAACACACAAAAGATTGTGTTCCTGATTTGTGCTGTTTCCCATGAACTGCTCTGCCGGAGCATGACTTATTTTCTTAACAAAATAAGAGAGTTGAAAGGGACCTTGGAGGTCTTCTACTCCGACCCCCTGCTCCAGCAGGAGACCCTGTATTATTTCAGTCAAATGGCTGTCCAGTCTCATCTTAAAAACTTCCAGTGATGGAGCACCCACATCTTTGAAGGCCTGGCAGATAACTGGTAGAAGGCATAGAGAATAGCCTTGAAGTACAGAAGGAAAAGCTGTTACCAAGCCAACATCAAACAAGCAAAGTTTGAGTCTATTCCAACAAACTGATTTGAGTAAGCGTCTCACACAGACCCCTCCCTAATTCAGACTCGCAGGATTTGATTACTCTAGATATTCTAATCAAAGTAGTTGATTAGAATACTAATCCTAAACATGGAACACAGATCTACCCAACTGTAGATCTGTTCAGACTCGCAGGATTTAATTACTCTAGATATTCTAATCAAAGTAGTTTTAGACCTACATGGCATTGGTTTCTTAGTCTAGTCCAGTGGTTCTCAACCTGTGGGTCGGGACCCATTTGGGGTCGAACGACCATTTCACGGGGGTCGCCAAACAAGGCTGTCCGCCATTTTTCCCCCCCTTTTCTTTGGCCACGCCCCTGGCACCCGGTGATGTATAAGTGGTTAGGGGTCACCACAACATGGGGAACTGTATTATGGGGTCGCGGCATTAGAAAGGTTGAGAACACTGGTCTAGTCCAGGGGTAGGCAATCTTGGCTCTTTTATGATTCATGGACTTCAACTCCCAGAATTCCTGAGCCTGCTCAGGAATTCTGGGAGTTGAAGTCCACGACTCATAAAAGAGCCAAGGTTGCCTACCCCTGGGATAGTTTACTCTATAAAGCTGACCACAAACACATTTTTCACCCTCTGAATTCAGCTGTGTGAAATCATTGCTCTTTCTCCCTCCTCCCCATCCTTATGGAGTTATTCTTTTATGGAATTTTGCTGCCAATAAGCCTTGGTATGTGAACCGTAAATATGAATGGACTTGATCAAACATTTTATGAATGGCTTTTATTAAAATGAGGTTTCAGTATAGTTTACAAACATACCATGTTCAATTCCAGCTAGGATTCCTTGCGTTCGAAAGTTGTCTGGAAATTCACATTGGTTTCCTTCGACCTTCCAGAATTTTGGCTCCATCCCAAGCCTTGACTGTACATCACGGCTTTAATTCAGTAGATACTGGTAATGAACTACATGTTCAGGGTGTGGCCAGAATTCAGCATTTTGCAAAAAATAAAAATAAAAAAATGGTTTGACAAAAGGCAAAGCGTCTGCCAGATTTTATGAAAACATGCTTGTCAAGGAAAAACTGCAGTACAATTCAGCGCAATGCAATGAAATGGAAGACATATGGTTGCTAAAGTTTGTTACTATGAGTTATTAAAGAATTTCCAAACAAAAGCAACTTTGCCAGAACTTTTGGTTAACAGCAGCAGCTCTGAATGGGATTTTTTTTTTGGGAGAAAGGTTTCCAAAGTGGAACAACTTTTAAGAGCAACATTGCAAGATCCGGAGATCAGATAAAGGACTTTTTGGGTTTGTTTCAACAATTAGTACAGTATGCACCATTTGTAATAGATTGGCAACAACTCATTTAAAGATGTTGCTGTCATGGCTGTTAGCAAATGTTTATTATGTTAGTGTAAACAGGAGTTATAGACTATTGTACCAGATTATTTGCTTTTGATTTGCTAAAAAGAAAATATCTAGGACTTGACTTTGTAACTGACTTACAAATGGATAATAGAACTATGGAGCCTTATAAAATGTCCACAGTCCATACAATGTAAATTTAGATTTTAAGAACACTGTTTTATAATTAATGCTTTGCCCAAATTGGTGAGGCAAATTCTTAAAAAGTACTTGTGAAGAAATAGTTTGACTTTTCTATTTTATTCTGAGGAAAGCTTGAGAATTTCAACCGTAAAGCACAACATCAAGTTCTCTCTTATGTGTATATATGTGCACACAACGCATGTATATGTTTCCCAGCTCCAAGGTTTACAGTAAATCCTGGGCTTTTTTTTCTTCCTGTTCTTTGGAGTTAATGGACATTGGGCTGTGTTTTTTTTCCACCCAGCTTTGAGAGTTGGGTAGATCTGTGTTCTATGTTTATGTGATAGTTCTGCCCAATCTGAAAAGTATTGGTTAACTCTTGTCAAACCTCAGTATTCCACCAACATAAATAAATAAATCAAAGACATCACATTCCATTCATGAGCATTTTGCCAACAGTATTTTGTCCTTTACAAGCAATTTTGAAAACAACTTGACTTCCACCAAAGCTGAACATGCATAGACAAAAATAAGAGGCGGTCTTGGAACTACAACAGTTAAGTCATTGCAGTAGTTATGCAGGTGACCACGTGACCCCGCCCAATTTTATGACCCTTTTTTGCAACGGTCATAAAATTGAAAATCTGATGGTTATTTTATCCACTAGGGGCTTCTAGCTGAAAAGCAGAAATAAATGCAGGAAAATGGCAAAAAATGACATATTATTTTTACTGCCTTCCTTTTTCATTGTTTATTTTATTGCTCTGTTACTTTACTTCTGTTTACACTCTTTTCATTTTTTTCCTTTTTATTACTGTAAGCTGCCTAGAGTAGCTTCAGAGCAAGACAGGTGGCAAATAAATAAAACAAATAAATAAATATAAAAATTGTGATCAGGTCACCATGGGACACGGCAAATGGCCCTAAAGGTGATTTTGATAGTGGCATACTTTCCGTAAGTGCAGACATATCCCTTGATTTATAGATTTGCATGTATGCAGATATATTACAAATTAATAGCAGTAGTAGTAGTAGCATCAATGCTGTTACAGCAGTTACTCCTATTCTCTTGTCTTTCTGTAGATCATGGGATATTCTGAATGGGATCACAAACGAGGACCAAGAGGATCGCAGGTCAGATTTTGAAGGATTTTACTGCGCCTGGCTAATTTAGGATTGAAGAGTGTTACGTATTTGGAGGCCAATCTTGTGCGCAGCTATCCAGTGCCTCTGAATTATGGTTATTAAATACCCACCTAGGTTTGCCTTTTAATAGATTTTCATGGTCATTAACATTGATATTTATTATTTTTATCCCTCTGCTGCTGTTTTCCTTCATTTATAGGACCAGTGTACAGCAGTGTTTTTCAAACTTGGCAATTTTAAACGATGTGGACTTCAACTCCCAGAATCCCCCAGTCATTAGGAACCTCAGCTTTTTCATTTGTTAGATTGGCAGAATTCGATTCAAATGGCCAAGTTACTCATCCTCACTCTCTTGCTAAGAATATTTGTGAATTGCAGTAACCACAAATACATCCAGTGGATATATTTGAACTTGGGGGCAAATCACTGGGTTTGAATTCCTACATATTTCAAGAACCTCAGCTTCCTTTACTCCTCATTGTTTTTAAATGGAAACAGTGCTTTAAAAAAAAAATATGGTTAAAGCCTAATATTCATGCTTTGAGTGCAAATACTCTTACTTTGGAACAACTCTGATCTGGGCACTTCGTCTCTGTGTTGGTGATGTTTGTATTTATTGATACGGGCCATGAGTAATTATAGGATCTGCCAAGCTTCCAAGGCAAGTTCCCATTTGAACGTCATTGTGAAAACTGTTGGAAAAAATAATCTATCACCTTATTGTTGTGATCCACCCTGCTGGCTCCTGAGTAAAGTCTTTTATGTAAGGCTGCAGCTATTGTAGACTTCAGTGGTATGGTAAAGTTTTGGAGGAACCCATGATTAAAATTCAGTTTTGATTTCACTTGATCAACATTTAAATCTAAATTTCTAAGATTCAAAGTTTGACAGTGATAGAAACATGTTCAAGGAATATCTGTCTCTTCTAAATAAATTTAAATCTCCCAAGCCAAATGAAGTACATTTTAGGGTAGAGAGAAAACTAGCTAGTATTCCTATCCATCTTACATGTCATCTTTGAGAAATTATGGAAAACTGATAATATGCCAGAGACCTAGAGAAGAAACTATTGTATCTATCTAATTAAAAAAATCAGGGATCTATTGATCAGTCAGTATGAGGTCAGTACCTTGGAGGTTTCCAGAACAAATTATAATGAGATCATATTGATGCATCTTGGAAAGTATCATGTTAATTATTTAAAAAGCAGCATGGATGTTTTTTTAAAAAAATCTTATCAGTTTTTCATACCATAAGAAACAATTGTTCTATTTTATTATATTTGGAGAGATCTTCTCCCTAGTATTATGACCAATTCTAGGCATCACTCTTTAAGGAGTCAGAGGAATTGGAACAGGTTCAGAAAAGAACAAGGATGATCATAAATTAAGTAATGGGCATGTTAAGACTTAAAAAAAAAACGGGGTGGGATTGGATAGCATCTTTCAAGTACTTAAGAGACTGTCACACAGAAGGTTAATGCCAGTTTAGTGTCTTATTCTAAGTTACATGAAATAGCATAATGCAGGGGTGTCAGACTCACAACGTCACGTGACATGTCGCGACGTATCACAACTTTTTTCCCATTGCTGGCAATGGGGTGGGCGCAGTTTTGCCATGACGCATCCAGTCCGCAGGCTGGCAGTTTGACACCCCTGGCATAATGGATATAAGTTAAAAAAAAACAACACCCTGCATAACAGTACAGGTAATTCTGAAATTAATGACTGTATTGGAACTGCTCACCTTGGTCATAACTCATGACAGTTGTAAAGCCAGTTGGTCATGTGATCTTACAATTTTATAATCTTTTTTGCCCTGGTCGTTAAGTAAACACTGTGGTCATTAAGTCATAGTTTGCTGTGGGCCAGGTTGGCCGCAGTCTGGAAGTAAATACCAGCTTTCAGCAAATTTGTCATAAAATGTGGTCACATGACCGCAGGACACTTCAATCAGCTGTAAATATGTGGTCGTGTGATGGCAGGGGAGAACCACCAGAACTTCAACTCCAGGTCATAAGTACTTCTCAGGTAGGTGTGTTGGAATCTCGAAGTGTCATTAAGTGACTGGTCATAAATAAAGATTCTTTGTAAGAACAGCAGGACAATAACTTAGAGAACTGGGGGGGGGGCTCTCTGCATCGGATGTATTCAGTCAGCAACTATAGAACTATTTCTCATACATGGTTTAAACTGAGTTTCTGCTTCAAGCAAGGGGTTCGATTCAGTGGCCTAAGTATCCCTTTCTAAATATGTTGAATTTGCATTCTTTTCTTTCATAAACATAATAATTTTCTTCTTGTATCACTTATACCTTAGAAATAATGTTTTTAGATCTTAGAGCATCTAACCAAGAAGTTGCACTTCAGTTTGTGTACTTTTGCTCTAGAGGCTAACCTCAAGTTAAGGGACACCATGGTTATCTTTTTCTTTGGGGCAGTTGGCTGAATGATTAGTAGCCTGGGTTTATTCACAGGTTATAATTTTGGCTTGTGAAAGTTGGAACTTGGGTTGTTTGTCTGAGAAGGTTTACTAAAACATCAAGCAAAAACTTCTTGCCTGGGAAGTAAAGATAGAAATAGTACAAAAGATGCAACTAAGATTAGCCTATTGATTCCAAGGATTACAGTCAAGGCCCTCTACATCTCAGAAGCAGCAACAAAAAGCATTGTGTGAAGTATTGTGAGAATCACTTGGATAAACTAGAGTACCACAGCTTAAAGGTCAAATATCTTAGTCTTGGGGAAGCCAGATTTACTTAACAACTACAGTGCAATAATAACAACTGCAATAATTTGCTTTTCTTGCGGCAAGAAAAGTCGTAAAATGGGGCAAAACTCGTTTAATAACTGTCTTGTTTAGAAACAAAAATGTTGGATTCAGTTACAGTCGTAAGGCGAGGACTGCCTGTACTTGGCTTCCCACCTATTGTAAATTACTCCTCTCCTCTCTTCCTCCCATCCCCCATTGAGGAACAGCTTAGCATCACATAGAACAGGGACGTGCCTGGCTGAGGAATTCTGGGAGTTGAAGTCCACAAGTCATAAGAAGGCCAAGTTTGAAGACCCCTGATGTAGAAGAACATTTATTCTGCACTTTTTCGCCAGGTTGTGATGCAAGGCGACAAATTTCTTTTTCTTTTGTTGAAAGACTGGATTGGTTGGTTTGATAGTGTTCCCCCCCCCCTTGGAAAGATCTAAAAGAACACCACCACCACCAACATCATTGAACCAGTTTATTGGGTATGCCATATTGACAGGGTATATTAGCTGCTGCATTTCTGGTGTGTGTGTGGGGGGGGAGGTTGCTGAGTGGGTGGCAAGGTGTAACCCTGAATCTACAAAGAACGAAAGTCCTTCTTTTCTCATTTTCCATGAGATGATGGTCAGAAGAAACAGGAACGAATCCTGTGGATCCGAGGTATTCTAATTCATTTTAAATGTAAAAGAGCTCTCCATTATATATAGCAGAGGTGCTGTAATTTACTCTTCCCGTTCCTAAGCAACAGCTATTTTCAGTTTGAATGCGTCTGGTGTTGTCTACCTACTTTATGCCTCTATGAGGCAATTCATTAGTGGATATTTTCCCCCACCTCCAACCTTCACACACACACCCCGCCACATGTACTTTCTCTCTGGTCCCTGCTTTCTGTTGAGCGATCAAGACTTCCAAATTGGTGAAGATCGTGGAGTAATAATCCCATTGCTCCATTCTCTTCCTCATGATACGTTTACAAAGAGGAAACTTTGGGGTCCTTGAACTCAACCTGAGGAATGGATTGAAAATAACTCCTTCGCCGTTAGACTGAAAGTCTTCGGAGTAGAAGTTCTCCTAAGCAAAACCATGAAACGTAGATCTATGATCTTGTCGAAACGCCGATGGGAGTCCATTCCAACCACTGGACAGGTATGGTGGCTTCATGTTATAATTTCACCTTGGCAGTTGAGAGCTCCAGAGATCGGAGTTTGAAGCCAGGATTGCCATAGATCGCTCTCTTGTGCCTACAATTAAGGGTGCAGGATCATCACTGCTTTTAGAGCCTGTCAATCTACTTGTTCAGGTTTGGGGTTTTTAACAGCACATTTTTTGACTTGTGCAACAGAAGGAAGGAATTCATTTTCTACCTACGAAAAAGAAACACAGTAAGAGCACTCTTCATAATACAAGCAGTAATGTTCATTGCAAGGTTTTAAAAGCAGGTGCCAATGAGAATTGTGGACAGCTGAAAAGTAGTTTAATGGTTTAGATTTTCTAAGTGGTCTTTGGCAAGAAACCCCAGATTGAGTTTTGAGCTCACATAAGTTGCAAATTCAGTGTATAAATAATTGCAGGTTGATCTCAATAACAAATGGCTTAGGTGTGCCTGAGCATCCAGAAGAGTTTGTTGAAAGGCAGAGAACATTTGTTTCTTTAAAATATTATCATAATCCTCAAGTTGTTCTACTGATTAGGAAATTTCTCCTTAGTTCTAGGTTGCTTCTCTCCTTGACTAGTTTCCATCCATTGCTTCTTGTCCTGCCTTCAGGTGCTTTGGAGAATAGCTTGACTCCCTCTTCTTTGTGGCAACCTCTGAGGTATTGGAACACTGCTGTCATGTCACCCCCTAGTCCTTCTCTTCATTAAACTAGACATACCCAATTCCTGCAACCATTCTTCATATGTTTTAGCCTCCAATGCCCTAATCATCTTTGTTCCTCTTCTCTGTACTCTTTCTACAGTCTCAACATCCTTTTTACATGGTGGTGACCAAAACTGGATGCAGTATTCCAAGTGGGGCCTTACCAAGGAGTTATAAAATGGTATTAACACTTCATGTGATCTTGATTCTATCCCTCTGTTAATGCAGCCTAGAACTGTGTTGGCTTTTTTGGCAGCTGCGGCACACTTTTACATTAGAAGTTAGGGATTTAAAATAAAATTTCCATTCTTGATCTGGCTTGTTCTTTCTGTGGATGGGAGTATTCCATATAATCTCTTCCATCTAAAACA